TAACTCACACAAGTAGCATGCCTTCTCTTGCTCGCATGCCATAACTCACACAAGTAGCGTGCCTTCTCTTGCTCGCATGCCATAACTCACACAAGTAGCGTGCCTTCTCTTGCTTGCATGCCATACCTCACACAAGTAGCATGCCTTCTCTTGCTTGCATGCCATAACTCACACAAGTAGCATGCCTTCTCTTGCTCACATGGCCAAAACTTGCACAAGTTGCATGCTGATTTTTGTTGTTGCAATCCTATCCAATGTGGCTGACTGGCAGCCATTTTGTTTGACGATAATCAGCTATTTTTTGTTTGCCCAATTGTATTTTGTTTATACCTTCAGGCTTTCCAATAGTTCCAACTTTAGTACACAACTGACAATTACCGGATTCGGCTGATACCCCGCCCATCCTAAACCCCGCCCATGGGCGATGTTTCAAATAGTGGGCGATGTTTTGGTCCACACATTGCCTGACCAATTTTCCCGTCCGACATCTTGTATCGAGCGCGCTATTTCAATTATGACGCTAAAATAATTCACTGTGAAGTCGAAAAGCATTAAAACTTCAATAAAACCAATGCTGTATACGAATTGTTGTTGCGTATTATGACTTGTTAAAATAAATTTCACTTGCGTTTATTACACTCGAATAAAGTCTACGCTTGAAAAGAATGTTATTTACGAAGTTTAAAACATCCAAGCTTTCCGGATTCGAGCCTCTTGGTTGTTATCAGCAATGTTTAATCTTTGTCTGTATCGCATTCCGGTAAACAAGAAATGGGCGAACTAAAATGTCTCCTGCGTTTCACTTGCGACATGATTATTAAAACACTGAGTTAAGTGGTCATGTACGTTCTATAAATCTAACCTTGTACACATAATCTTGTACTGACGTGATTTTTGTCCAAAAAAGACGTTCCCCTTCAGTTAACCCCCAGTTAACTCTTCGCATTCATGACATTTGTGAGAGTTGAAAGATTTTTTGAACACATGACAAGTAACTATATTGATTTACGTACGTTACGTCATGTACGTTCTATAAATCTAACCTTGTACACATAATCTTGTACTGACGTGATTTTTGTCCAAAAAAGACGTTCTCCTTCAGTTAACCCCCAGTTAACTCTTCGCATTCATGGTATTTGTGAGAGTTGAAAGATTTTTTGAACACATGACAAGTAACTATATTGATTTCCGTCAAGCTGGATGGCCCGAATTTAAATATCAGTGTGTAAACTCTTTTGAGGTCATTGCCCAATGCCGCACGTAATTCAAACGCGTGGTTATTATAGTTCAGTCGAAATGTACGTGAATATTGCGATCGAAGTGCACTGTCCAGAGTTTATTATATTATAGTAAAATTTAACTTGACACATGGTATAGTTTATATTACATGTTCACCATTGGAACATCGATGAATCACAAGTATTTAAAATATTTTCTTGACTTTCCGTAGATACCCTAGACTATCATTTTTAATGATTTAAATGCGCTCATGTTTATGTTTGCGTAGTTATTACGAATGCAACGCATTATCAAGTCGGTAATATTGAAATATTCACAGACCCAATACCCCGGGTCAGCATCCTAACAATAGTAAAAATTGAGTTTGCGTAATTATCATGAAAGCAATAAATTACAAAGTTGAAATATTCAGAGCTGGTACAATATTGTAAACAAATTTGCATAAATAGAAAAGCAGTGCACTAAGTAAACGACGTTGATATATTCAAGCCAGT